TTCTAGCTAATTCAATAATATTTACATATCATAATGTCCATCATCTTTCATCTGATCGGCTGAAACCTCTAGAGGGATTTTCAGTTTTGTACATATTTCTCACATAGTTGTACATGCAAGCTGATAGTGGACGAGCAGTATCCCAGCCCATGTATCCACTCAACCACCTTACAAGCCACCGATATGCAACAGCCCTACAAAACCTAAAAATGTAGCACATTATTATAAACAAAAATGTAATTTACATTGAAGCTGGAATATTTAATAATGAAACGTAAAATGAAACTTGATAATTAAAAGAACATTTGCAAAGTTCTAGAGTGGCATTTCTAATGAAGTCTGCAGTTCTGATATAAATTTTACTAATGTAAGATATTTTCGCTATATGTTATTAACACTTACTCATTTTCACATGTTTTCGACTTCCCACGCATCTTATACGGTCTGCCGTCTTTGCCTCTTAATAAGGGCCCAGAAAGTAGAAGTACTGCTCGATAAGTAATGTGGGCAAAGTCAGGATGGTCGCAAACACACCTGATCTGGTCAGCCGTTCCATCAAACACAAGTTTACCTAACACAGGCTTCACCTCCTGACAACAACGAAACTCCCTCGCTCCTTCTAACAAATCGACTGCACACTTTCCACATTTGCACCTAATAATAACACGAACTCAAGATCAAGATAGTTTGTCAGTCAGAAAGGGAGCAAAAAGTCTACGCACCACGAATTAATGACTACAAGACCTTCTTGTCTCTGGTCTAACGTATGAGCTGACAAACCGTCTTCATCTTGCTCCGTGTTGTCCGCTGCATCGGCGATTTCATCTTCTGCTCTCGGCTCAAACTGGTATGGATTGTAAATACCAGCCTCGTGCACAGTATCACTTTCTGCCTCGGACTCAGAAGAATCACTGCCAGCAGAACTTTCAAAATCACTACTCATAGTCAACGGGGAAGAAACGAGAAAAACAGATTCGCGACACAGCCGTGCCGATTATTCAAATGTTGTGACGTCATAGCACCAGCGAACTAGTTCCCAGTCTACCAGAATTTTTCGCCTCTTGTCAGTCAAAAAAAGGAATTTTTAAGACCGAGTTTTCCCTGTAAATTAACTTTTGAACGCATAGCAATCAACGGTTTTCAAAATTACGATTCTAGTTTAACATTTTAGAGCATTAATAATTTTTGAGGCATATACACTAATTAATTTTCCAGTTTCTGCCCATGTCAAGCAAATGACTGAACTGTCAACTCTTCTTGATAATCCAGAAGTCTAAAAAGCTTGGATCATATCTCAATCTGTCTCTCAAGATTGCAACATAAAAAATCACCCGTTTTTTTTTTTTTTTTTTTTCCTGAGAGAATGGCATATTTTTCTTTTTTTATTACCTGAAAGTGTAATTACAAAAATTGTGATCTGATCTGAGAAATATTGGTGGTCTGTGGCCTTTTTGTTCTTGGTTCAGTACTCCAAGATAAAAGTATATAATTTAAAGTGGATGTATCGGAATATGTATGGAATTTTCTGAGGTTGACAGCCCTGAGCAACTCTATCTATTGATCGTTTTAACCCATTCCCATGAGATTCAAAAGATAAAAGAACGGCGGCCATGTTGGAAGAATGAACAATAGATACTAATGAGAAATCCTTTGTTAAATTTCCTCCAAGATGGCTGCTGTGACGTAACCTGCAAACCAAGAATATGTGGCTGAAAAAGAAATCAAACTGCAAATAATAAAAAGTTTGTCATTTATTGTCACAGAACCAGGCTATTATAATCAAGGAAGTGGTGCCGATGGAAAAATTGAGAATCAACAATAATGGAGGTCAAAGCTATGGCTATGTAGTCTATCGCACATGGCTTCCTCATGGTGCAAAGGAACTACACATTGAGAAATTTAGAGACTGGGCTCAGGTACATTACATTATTTGTCTATGAATTGATTAATTAATGTTATTGATCCTTTGAAGATTGATTAATAATTGATTAATCAATGTGTGCATTCATTTCTTTGGCTGCTTCATAACTTGCAGATCATGGTGGGGTCCAAGCTTCTTGCAACATTAGATTCAACAGACTTTGATTATGGAAACATGGATGTCAGCAAGATGCTGAATACATATATAGAACTCAAGTACGAGGTATGTCAGCAGACTGTTTTATAATGTATGATAATCATGTCATTAAGGATATTTTGTAGAACTGATTTTTGTTTGCTGTTCCATAGCACGAGAACAAAGATGAACAGTTATATTTAGATATATTAGTGGAAAACTTGGGACGAGGATATGAAAATGTAATAAATCATACACATAAAGGTAAAGACATATAAAATAGTCTAAAACTTGTTTTTCAATTGCTGATAATGGTTTGTACATCTACTTCACAGGAATAATAGGAGAAGTTAACATTGATGGCCAATCACCTGCTTCCTGGACAGTGTATCCCTTTAGCTTTCATAAAAACTTTATTTCAAGGTAATGCACCTAAGCAATTACATCTTTTTTGTAAAGAATGTAAAATGTAGCTGAATCTGCCATGGAATTAAACAGATATCTGGCTCATTATTGTGTTATCATAGGGCAAACTGAGTCAGGATTCAACAAAACCAAAAGAACAACATGATTTTGATATTGTCTTCTTTCACAGTATGTTTAACCAAGAAGCTTGGGATTCAGCATCAGATGAGAAACACACTTCAGTGTTTCCAGGATTCTTCAAGGGTACTTTGACCATAACCAGTAAACCGCATGACACCTTCCTGGACATGACTGGGTGGGGTAAAGGTGTGGTTTTTGTTAATGATCATGTACTTGGCCGGTATTGGAAAATAGGCCCCCAGCAAACACTGTACATTCCTTCAGTATGGCTACAAAGAGATGAAAATACGGTGAGAATGTACTACCAAATTTATTTGCAAAGGCGACTGCAAATCAACTCAAAAAGGCTTTATGACCCAGTCTAGTTTTGTTGGTAGACACATGACTACAACAATGATTTATCTTTTTGGTGTCTGCTGTTGCTTGGTATGCGTGCATAATGTGAATACATCTATATCATCACCATTTTCTTTGTTTTTCAGGTCGTAATATTTGAATTTGAAAAACGAAGTCCTGATGGATTAGTAAAATTTTCACAAAATCCAGTCTTAGATAAATTAATGAAAAGTTTTTAGCATTGTCTGGTATGTAGAACATAGTGTATTAATTTATGATATTTAAAGGCTGATAGAGCAGATCCAGTCTTATGTTTATATACTGCACAGAACCTATGAAGGATTTCCTACTTTTGGACTGTATTGAACTGAAATGGCTGATAACTTCTATAGTTTAGACAATAGGAGCATTTTATAAGAACTCTTACTGTAATTTTATACCTACATAGTTAGCACTGTTAATATCATATTTGAAAATCCTCTCTTTGTTGCTGTGATGGATTTTTCCAGTAAAACGTGACACACTTTGCAAGACCTGAGGACTACAACTATCATCACAGGCAGCCCAAGCTGGTGATTGGGTTGCATCACTACAAATAATAATAATATATATAAAAAACAATTTTGGAAATATTCTCCCCAGCTAGCTTGAGTTGAACTATGTATTTGCATTTATTGTGTGTAATCTGGGATCTAGTTGTTTTAGAGGGTTTTTGGGATCTCTGTTTCTTCTAAAGAAAAAGGAAATAATTTGAACACAAAGTAGGAAAACTTTATTTCAAAATTATCTCCAGCTTGGGCTGCCTGTGGTATCATGCTTTGCTTCATAAAGTGTAATAAATGGTAAATAACTAAGATAAAATTAGACTCCTTTGCATCTGTCTCCGGTTGTTGAAATGGAAGAATAAAGCATTATAATTAGTCATTGTCTTTAAGATTACATGTATGAGGATTGACAACACAAAAGAGAGACAGAGAATTAACTTTTGGACGTATAGATATTTCTGCCAAAGTTTAGACCCCTTTTGTGATGTACTCTATCATCTTGCCCTGTACCTTGCTATTACAGCGCACGCAAGACACTCAACAACAGATGTGATGCAGCTCCACAAGACCGCGCCTTGACCGTTGTGCACCTCATGCCCAGACCAGAACACATTGAAGGCGTGCAGTTTGCTTTTTTCATTGGCAATAACAGCTGAAATTACTGATCAAAAGGGTCTGTTGATGCGAGACCTTCCTTGTAAACAGGACAATCATGAGGATTGACCACACAAAAGGGAGACAAAGAATTAAGACCCTTTAAGTTTTGATGCACCCAGTCAATGAATCACAGCTTTGAATGGATGTCTAGATATTTCCGCCAAAGCTAAGACCCCATTTGTGATGTACTACCTACAACAACAACAACAACAACAATAAAATGACAGTAAAATCATACAGTCCTCGCAGTTAGTCTGAGACTATTCAAGGCAGGGAGAAAAGAAAAAAATATATCAAAAGTTCACAGGTTTACAAGGAAAAAAAAAATATTTCAATAAATACTACTCTCAAAGACAATATGTAGGCACAGGTAACCCGGTTTCGTTAATTATTCTGAATGCGTGACCTACCGGGACATCTGTGCCCGCTCGTGCCACTGGCGCAGTATTGTACACTAGTAGCAAGACGAACGATACGCCGAACAATAACAGATTATTTACAGCTGATGTGAGGAGTTTACAACAAAGAAGCGGATGTTTATAACTTCACAAGTTCATCAAGTGATTGACTACGTCTGCAAGCTCTCAAAAGTGCAGAACGAAGGGGATTTTTGGCTTGGCTTGTGATCGTGTCTTAAATAATCAAACAATGATGAGAGCCATTCATCTTCACAAAAAAACAATATTAATTATTGGCTTACTCTCTTCGGTGTTGATAATTTGGATGTTTTATATACGAAGAGACTTTTATATCCAGAGATCTCTCGCTCGACGAGTAAAAGGTTTATATGCTGGTGGAGATTATTTTTATTTGAATGGAAAGCCAATTCGTATTCTTAGTGGAGCCATGCACTATTTTAGAATTGTTCCTGAATATTGGGAAGATCGATTATTAAAGTTAAAAGCAATGGGTCTTAATACTGTTGAAACGTAAGTTTTTTCCGGACGAAAATAAGTTAATTTTAATTGACCCTTTCACGTTTTGACAATTTTACATTGGACCAGGTAGCGAAGACCTGTCGACAACAGTGGAAAAAGAAAACTTGGATTATAGACAATAGTAAAATTAAGCTTATGTTAGATTTTAAAGGTGTACGTTTTATCTGAGCGAAAAGGTGGTCGCGAAATGTTACTGCTATTTATAGGGTTGGGCTCGTTCGTAGGGGCAATTATGAAAGGTCTGCTTGCATGTGACACGTTTCTATTTCAATAGGGAAGTAAAAATTCATTAACTTATTGTACGTAGTTTCCGCGCGAATGAATGAGCAGATTCTAGTTTACAATTAGGGCAAAGTACTACTTATTAGCTAATTATATAGTAACGATTGTTTTGTTTATTATCTATAGGTATGTACCATGGAACTTACATGAAGAAATCAGAGGAGAGTTTAATTTCAAGGGACAGCTGAATGTGGCGTAAGTTATGTATATAGTTGAACAATATCACTATTTTGCATAGCTGATTTCTGTTTTCTTTGCCACCATGAAACAAACCTTATTAGCTTGAAATACCTGCTGAATTGTAAGAAACAATATACTCCCTGTCAAATTAAATACAGTATTACATGTAATTTACTCAATGGTATATTCCAAAGTGTGCACTTGCTAGTAAGAATTAATCCACTTGTGATCTTGGTTGGGATTGGCATTTTTGATTTCATACCCCCCTTAATGTACATGGTGGTTCGATAAGACTTGTCTAGAACAAAAGAATAACAAATCACCAAGTTTGGTGTGAATGAGATCAAATTTGAACGATTGACAGCTTTTGCAAAATTCTAGATCTTTCAAAGAAATGGGAATTTTGAAAAATCTAGACGCTGCTTCTGGCATCCCTTATATTTCTTTGGAAATTCTAGTTTTTTTTTAAAGGCTGTAATTCATTCAATATTAATCTGATCAACAACAAATTTGGAGGGTAGGGATTTGTCCATAAGGTTCTATATATAGTTTGTATCAACATCTTGTCAATTACATGAATGACAATGACATGGGTGTCTCCAATGTCATGAAATCGATCAGGCTTATGCTAAATATTATCTAATCATGAAAAGTCCAGACAACTCTCTAACCCCTTACAGGTGCCTTAGATTAAAACTGTGATATTGTCTGGAATATTAGAAGCATTTTTGTGACTGCACTTGTTTGTAGATAGATTGGTTGTTATTTCTAATTATGTATTTCTATGTTTGTTTCAGGAAGTTTTTAGTGACTGCACATAATTTAGGGTTATATGTTATTATAAGACCAGGTCCATATATCTGTGCTGAGTGGGACCTTGGAGGATTACCAAGGTACACAATAGAGTATATGTTAAATAGAGGATATTACATGGGCATGCAGGGATACAGATTTTATCTCCGAGTGAGAGATTTTCAACACCAGAAGATAAAATTCATATCTGCAAGCGACCATGTAATATTCTGTTTATCATATAATTACATATGAAAGCAAATTATGTCATAAAATACCTTTTTTCTTACTTCCACTATATAGAGAAACCTCGAATGTGTTATTTTCACTAGTGAAAATATCAATTTTACAAAATTGAGAAATATAGGTATTTCATAGATTAAATTATATGATAAAAGTGAATGTTGCCTGAATATGTAGCCTAGAAAAAGTATTATTCTAAGTAAAGCAATAATAACCAGTTTCTATTAAGTTGACTTTGGTAAGTGAGGTAAGAGAATCTTAATCTGACTATTGCCAATCAACAATATCAACCAGCTATGACGTTAAGTTTTACTAGTAACCTTTGTATGGATTTAACTTGTTTTTCTATATAGTTTTCTAATACATACTTTACAAATTAATTAAATCCCAAAGAAAAGGCTCACATTTACTGGTTGCTGTTTCTTTGTTAATGTTTTCCTTTTTTTTGCTAAATGTCATGAGAGCATTTTTAAAATAAGGTATATGCTAAGTAATTAGTCTCACTCCCTCAAGCTCAACAATAGGTCACCTGCAGAGGAGGCCAGCCATTTACCATTTTTATCTTTCACATGACAGATATGGTAAATGGAATTGGAAACTAACTCTCTGATAACTATTTTTCTGTTAACCAGTTGGCTGCTCAAAGATCCAAAGATGAAATTAAGAAGTTTATATGAACCTTTCATGGCCGCTACTGAAAAATACTTTGATCAATTAATTCCAAGACTTGTTCATCTTCAGGTAATAATATTGATGACAAATAATGACTGATGAGCAAATGGTTGTGATTATGATGGTGATATTATTTGTCTTTGGATAAACTGTGTGACACAGGGATCCCAACTCATTAACTATTCTATTCATTTAGTACTCTAACAATGGTCCAATAATAGCATGGCAAATAGAAAATGAATATCTCAGCTATGGAAATGACTCAGCATACATGCGTCGCTTACAAAAAGTAAGTTTATAAATGCTCTTATACGTCTATTGGTTATATAACATTTCTGTAAGATACATTGTGAAAATAAGACAGACTGTGATAACAGAACTCACATGAGACTGTTGCTTATATAAGTATGGGATATTCTCATTGAGACTTGAGTACTAGCTATATCCTATTTAGCAGGGCTTTTTTAATTGATTTGAGATATGGAATTGCTTTCTAAAATATATTGCAGGTGCACACATCCAAACAAATGTTTCTGAAGCTCATATCATATATCACTGCTGTAGCACTTGAAAGTATATGATTTCCCTTGACCCAAGTTTGAGCTTCAAGTCAATAGTCTTTATTACAGTTCCTTGTGCGTTTTAAACAGAAATGCTGCTGAGAAGAAAAAAATTCACCCAACATCATTTCCCAGCAAGATAATTGTCATGTGTTTTATTGTTTCATCATCCTTTAGGAAATGGTGAATCGTGGTGTAACAGAATTTCTGTTTACTTCGGATGGTTTTGATCAAATTAAGAGATCAAAAGATATTTATCATCTTGACAATGGTAATTGAAATTAACTGTGGTATCAAAAATTAAGGCAAATAAAATAATGGCTTCTTTAACATTCACAGTTCTGAAGACAGTTAATTTCCAGAAAGATGAAGAAAAAAATCTGAATGGGTTAAAAGAAGTCCAGGTATGATATCCCTTCTTTTTTTCCAGTGCATGATTTGTGATAATTCTTTTTAACTCACCTTGCATTTTTGAAATGAGATAACAAAAACCCTTTAAATTCTAGAGATACAAGACACTATATGAAAAAAATATTTTATTTTGATATCTAGTACCTAGTTCCAGATTAAATTGATACTGTGTTTTTATTTATTTTAGCCTAACAAGCCCTTAATGGTAATGGAGTTCTGGTCTGGCTGGTTTGATCACTGGAGTGAAGAACATCATATTTTGAGTCTAGAGAAAACAGTACAACGAGTGACTAATATACTTAAATTGGGCGCATCAATCAACTTTTATATGTTCCATGGTAAGCATATGACAACTCTGGTCTTTAGATTGCTCATTACTCATTTATTTTTTCCTCTTATTCATTGTTCCTTCCATTCATTTATCACTTTGTTCATTCAGTCATTCACTCATTTGATGATACTTCGATTAGTGTTTTTATCATATTTATTTCAGGTGGTACAAACTTTGGTTTCATGAATGGTGCTAATGCTGATAATGGGTTTTATAAACCAACAATCACATCTTATGGTAATTAAGAGGCTCTCAAAATTTCTGTATCGTGAAAGGAATTAAGATTTGTTGAGGCTGGTTTGTAGTACGTATTCCATATATGGCACAAGCGTATAGAACAAACTATCAAGCGACTAGAAGCACCTAACAAGCGACTAGAAGCACCTAACAAGCGAACAGGGGTCCATACTTTTTTTCACTTGTATATTTTTCTACAGTTTTTTATTGACTTATTYRAACTTTTTAGCTACGCCTTAACTTATTAAAAATTTTCTTATCAAATTTTAACTTAGAATTATGAATTTAACATTTTATAGCCTGACCCGTCCTAAACCTAACCCTTCGACTAGAGCTACAAATGTAAAGCGCCTTAACTAACTTGACCATGAGGGATTACCCTGGCAAACAACGAATTGTTTGTGACATTTAAAGTATTTTGTATTGCTAATAGCACCATTAAATTGAAGGGGCGGATGCGAAAACGGCGTAAGTGACGATTTAGGGTATTTTTGAAATTTTCGAAAAATTGACAAAAAATCGCTTCAATCATTTGTTTCTGGTCTAAATAATCATGTTTGCTAGTTATTTCTCGTGATTTCCTTTTAAAAAGCGGAAAAAAAGTCGACATTTAGTTACAGACTGTACCCTCCCCTCCCCCAAAGTTTAGCGGCATAGGGTTAGTTCCAGCCTTATGCAAGAGTTAGGGTTCCTATAGCCTAAGACAGGGGCTAGGGTTGCTTGATTTAGGGTTAGGGTTAGAATAGTTAGGGTTTAGGGTAGGGTAGGGTTAACGTTAGCTAAGCGTTAGGCTCTAAAACCTGAGTTTGTAAAGCAAACAAACTCCCCCCCCC